CATTTCCCAGCTGGCAGGCAGGAGTGCCACAGCAAAATGAAGTGTGAGAGAAGCTTAGTCCAGGTGAGGACTCACCAGCTCACCATCCTCCACATTTCTTCTCTCCCTTTTTATTGTCCTTCCCACATCCTCAAAGAGGAAGGGGGGAAAATGGCTCTGAGCATCCCAGCTCCCTGCTGGTAGGGCCTGTGTCTCCAGGGACAGACACCAAGAATTTGGCTTTGCTGTCACCTCATTGATCAGGCAGCGAGGGAACATCTCTGGTCTCTGCTGCGAAACCACTGTCACAATCCAGAGCTAAAATTGTTCCTAAATCTCAGTTGCCCCCACAGCAGCTCCATGGTCTTTCCAGCTGCTACTTCATTGGATGCTCCAGTGTGGTGCACCAAGCCATGCCACCAGCATTTCACCCTTCATTGGCTTTTTGTGACTTGATTTACTTATTGAGAAAAAAGTCTGGCTGTGGGAAGACACAAGATACAAGTTCAAAAATCGATCTCAGTGAAGGAACATTTTCTCACCAAAACTCTTTCAGTGAAAATATTATTAATAGTTCTGTTTCTTAGCTTTTTTGTTGTTGTTGTTATAAATACTTCCAGTGGAGGTGTTTAACTTGCTACTCTATCTCCTTTAGCCTAATTTTTTACCTTTAACCACTTAAGTGCTCCAAGACCACCTAAAGGGTCTACAAACACTCGTTAACAGCTCTGTGCTCTCCAAAGCCACTTGCTGATGGCCCATGGGAATGGTCAGCTGGAGGTGGCTCAGGTGATTGAGTTCTGCTGGGAGCGAAGGTGACCTGCAAATGCATGTGACACACAGTATTTCCCTTCCTTCCCTTCAAATACATACAAGAGAGAAGTCTGGGTTTGTAGGAGGGATGGAAAAAAACCCAACTTTTTCCAAAGTGGCCTTCAGAAGTTACTTTAGAGCACAAAAGGATAAACCTTTGCAAAACTTTTGATTTACAGGACTCAGTGATGGCCCCTGGGGAGCCCCTCAGTGGAGCTATGTGCTCTCCTCTCCATCATGGTTGTGAGGGAGCTGATGTCTGCTTTTAGTGGTAACCCAGGGAAACCACGGCAGCCAAATAATTTGAGGGACAACTTGGCAAAAGGCAAATCACATCAGTACGAAGCTCAGCAGAGCCAGGGGAGCAGTTTTCTGTAGAAAAGATTTAGGGAGAGTCACGAATGCAAGCCCTGGCTTCTGCTTTTCTGTCACTTGATTTTTCTGGTCCCTTCCCCTGTGTCTCTCTCATGCTCCTGTTTGGGAGGAAGAAGAAAACTGACATCACTCCAAATTCTCTAGTCTCACATAAAGTCTGATTTTTGTTGAGCTGACCGACAGAGACTGATAATTGCATTTTTTTCCCCTCCGGAAGTGTGACTTAATTTCCATAAATTTCCATCCCCAGATTTGCTCTTTTCTGTGTCCTGCAAAACCCTGAGCAATTTTAATGCTTCGTGTTTTGGCTGGAATCAAAATCACCTTTGGCAATAGAGGGCCAAGAGAAAGCTGGGATGGAAATTGCATCACCGTTACAGAGCCAGAGCGGCTCAGCGCCAGGACAGGACAGGACCCTCACGGCCACCAAGACGGGGCACAGTGCAGCCAGGGATGAGTAATTTGGGTCCCTAAGTCACTGCTCAGGCTTTGCTGGAAGGGGAGGTGGCTGTTCTGTACGAGACAAAACACGATTTGCTCCTGAGGGTTAATCCCATCCCACACAGTGGCGTTTGAATGGCTTTTAGGGTTGCTCTGATTACAGGAGCGACAGCAGCATGGAAGTGGGTTAGTGTTTCATCCCCTCCTGCCAGTGGCAAACATTGTAGTATTGGATTTTCTTTTTTTTTTTTTAATGAGGATTTAGCACACAGTCACAGGGTTTGCGGTGTTGGGGGTTTTTATGCTAGAGAGTAGCCAGCGCTAAGCCTTCCATGCACAGCTTTGTGCTCCTGCACTGTGCTAACGCGGCGCTGAGCCGAAACCTTGGGTCTGGTGGGTTTACACAGACACAAACGCTTCACTTTTAATGGAGAGGAGAATCAGACTGAACCATGCCTGGTGTGAGCAGAGATGAGGCCAGACCACAAACAACCCCAAATACAGAATAAGTTTCAATCCAGTATCACACAAGCTGTACTTTCCATGGTGAGCCAATACAAAGCCTAAGACTTTTAGGTCAAAAATTAACCTGGACACCGTCTAAATCCTCCTTCCCTGGGCCAGAGCAGTCTGTAAAGGTATATAAGGATGCAAAGGCTCCCGTAGGTATTGACTGACAGTCATAGCCACTTCGGTCCTGCTCATGTTCTGAGTTTCAAGGCTGTAAAAAACCCCATTAAACACCTATACAATTCCTCCTGCTCCTGAAGACCTTTCAAGATATGGTCCTGGGATCCCAGAACAGCTCCTCCTGAGGTGGAAGCTTTCCACTGGCTTTGAGGAGGTATTTGAGGCATCAGCTCCAGCTGGAAATAGTGTTGCTGTGCTGACCTACACAGCACATTGGGGTCTGGACTCACACAACCCAGCAAGCCAGGAAAAACACCGAATACAGAAGTTTTGCAGGAGGGGGTTTCGCTTTTCTAGCCCTTATTGCCCTCAAGAGTTTGTGTTTCCAAATAATTCTTTCCACAAATTAAAACCTTCTGCCTCTGGGGAAAATACTGATTTTTTTTAGCTATATGAGAGTTTTGATACCAATCAAAACATGGAAAAAAATCTTTAAATATAGCCTTTCATAGAAAGCATGCAATTTTCGCACTTTTACCATAACAATTCCTAAAAGGGAAAGTCAATGCTATTCTAGACAATTTCCTAAGCTCTTTAAATACTTCACAATAGAATTATGGAATGAATCAAGGCTTTAAAGAAAGCTCAGAAAAAGACTTTCTGAGTTCTGTGTAATTTGATTAGGCAAAACTGATTTATAGCTAGGGCAAAGGTTTTGAATGAAAGCCAATAAACTCCAAAAGTCGGGTGACAGAGTGAAGCATTTCCAGGGGCAAGCATTTCCATTTGTTGATGTGCCAGCATTGCTCAGCGGTGGGAACGAAGGACATTCAGCAGCTAAAGCTGCAGAAATAGGAGTGGGGAACCACAGGGCTCATTTCTTAGTTCTAAGTCTGAGCAAGGCATCTCACCCCTGTGAGCCAGCTCAGTCCAGCCACTTCATGAAGGTGAAATAAATGAAGGTGTTTTACAAGTACAAATTAGTCTTTCAGTGAAACCGCATGGTTTTGTACCAGCTTGGTCCCTACTGCTTAAAGATCTTCCTTAGCGTCTTGAGGCAACTCTTTTGAGATGTGTTATCTTTTCTATAGCATAGAAAACTGCTATATATTTAACAAAAGAGGTCATTAACAGCTCGTAATGGTGGGGTATATCTAGGAATTTCCTCAGCCCGCAGAGGAACTCTATTATTATTACCAGCATAAACGAGAGATGACATTCTCACCATGTGGGTTGCGAGAGACGAAACCCAGCTGGTACTTTTGCTGAACGCGTTAAGCTCTGGAGCACAAAGCTGTACAGAGACTTGATCTGTCTAAAGAAAGCTTTGGCAACAACAACACTGCCTGTCTTCACCAAAGGAGGAGTTGCATCTTTCTCAGATTTATGAACAAAGAAACGTAAGTGCTTCTGATTGCCAGTGCACCTGCTGCACATTGCATGTGTGCTTCTTATTTCTCTCTCTTATGGATCCCCGTAGCACCTCAGGGATGTGGTTGGGTTCTTTCTCCATCTTTCCATTCATCTCTGGCTTTTCTGAATCCCTCCTTCTGCCTGAGATACTGGGTGTACAGCAAATGCTTGTACCTCAAGGTGATCATGCTGCATGGATGGATGGGATGGGGATGTCTCCATGCAAGCAGATGGAGTGCCCGTTTGTAGATGAGGCTTTCCTGGTGCTGCAGTCAAGAGAGACTTGGGGTTGGCTTGGAGTACAGGATTGCTTTTGCAATTTAGAGCTCTGAGGTGCAAAATATGTGGCACTCAGCCCCTCTGTGCTGCAGGGAGCGTTAACATGGCAGTATTTCACCATCCCACCACAGCAGTTCACCATCCCACCACTGCAGTTCACCATCCCATCTCTGCAGTTCACCATCCCATCTCTGCAGTTCACCATCCCACCACAGCAGTTCACCATCCCGCCTCTGCAGTTCACCATCCCACTTCTGCAGTTCATCATCCCACATGGCATTTCACCATCCCACCATGGCATCCTTGCCACAGACATCCATGCGAATCCTACACGTGCCTCTGTTTTCCTGTGCTGCCCTTTGTTAAACTCAGCTCTAGCGGGGTTTCTAGACAGCCCATAAAGCTCTTACAAAGTCTTCCTGCTTCTATTCGACGCGAACAGTGACTTCCACTTGATTCAATCACTGCTTAATTTGATCCTCCATTTAATTTTATCAAAACTGTAGTAATCAAATAATTCGTACTAAAAACATTATGACTTCCACTTGTTTATTCTGATCCATTTTAATCCTTTAAGGTACAAGGTTTATTGGATAATTTGATTATGAGATAACAAAACACTGTCATTAAATCTACAAGGCAAGGGCAGAACACAAAAAAAGAAAGTTAAAAGATCTTAAGGAGTGCTCATAATAAAGAAAAAAATGCACTAACGTACAGTTATTTAGAAGTCATGCTACGCACAGTGAAAGCTAAGAAGCATCCTGCTGTTCGCGAGATGAAAAGATCAGTGGCGTGTTTCAGTCAAAACATTTCTGGCAATGAACTGCACTGAAAAGGGGAAGGCAATGTGATTGGATGTGAATGAATTTGCCTTTTTTGAGTGCTAACCCACGGGAATGATTGTATGTCAGTGGCGGTTGAGTTTGCCCTCTGTGCCATAAAAAGCAGAGTAAAAGGAGGGGAAATATTTCCACTGCAGGCTGTTCCTCTGTTGCTGGGAGAAATAAAACACAATCTCCTGCTCCACTGCTCCTTCTCATCCCTTGACCACATCTCTCCTCTGCAGGTCAACACTTTTATCTCCTTCGTGTTCCCCATGGTGGTCATCTCTGTGCTCAACACCATCATCGCCAACCAGCTCATGGTGATGTTCAAACAGGCTGCCCAGGAGAACCAGGTCTGCACCATCGGCGGGCAGCAGACGATGCTCAGCATGTCCATGGAGCCCAGCCGCGTGCAAGCCTTGAAGCACGGCGTGAGGGTCCTACGTAAGTATTCGCCTATTTTGGCAGGGAACTGGCGAGAGGTTTCCAAGTAAAAGTGGTTTGAAGAGTAATAGGTTGAAATTGGTAAATGCTTTCACCCCAAACTGGATTTAAAATGAAAATTGGCTCTTTCTGGAAATCCAAATCGCCCCCAAATGCTTCGACATTTGCCAAAATTGTGCAGTTCTTGTCACAAAACCCCAGGCTTTGGAAAATAAATTTGCTTGTTCTCTTGGTGTCTTTTCCTTTTCACCCAGTTCTTGCTTCAGCTAGATCAGTTTGCCCAGAGCCCTATCCAATATGATTTTAACTAAATTCTGAGGGCTGGCTGTCTAAACATATTTCAGTTAAATTGCCAAGCTGTGTTCTAGAAAATACTCTCATCGATATTTCACATGCAATAAGGGGTTCATTTTATTCAGTGTCTCAAACAACACTGATAGCTGGGAGCCTAAGTGGCCATTCATGAACTGCTCAGGTGGGTGCTGGGTATTCATAACTTCATGGAGAAACTAGGCAGAACTGTGATCTGCATGGAGAAAGACAGAAAGAGATTAATTTTCTTTTAATTCTTCCAAACAACTACATTTAGGATAATCACAAAGAATCCTTTTATTTTGCCTTTGCTTGTTGATATCTAAAGCTAAAGAACAGATCTACTCATGCATAGAAACTCTGAAAAACTAGCCCAGCATTTTAATGATTCAGCCAACAGCAACATAAGCCTTGCATATATCGCTTTATTCCTTTGCTTTTTCTGCAGAACTTTGGTTCAGACAAAGGTTAAACAAAAGATCCTGTACCCAGGAATTGAGCTGTGCTGCAAAATACTGCGTGGCTTAATTAAATAAGCTGAGGAAAAGACCAAGGAATCTGGTAGCTTAAACTGACAGATGATAAAGCAAAAGCTGTTCAAAAATAGCACCCAAAAAAAATCTAATAAAGTATGCCAGTGTTGGTTATAAACTGTGAGAGCTCTCATGCACATTAAATGGTGATGGTTTGTTAGCAGAAAGCTTTCTGATCGGTGCTCTTCATGGCAGAGCTCTTGGTAGCTGAAGTGCTTTGGCCAAGGCCACATTTTCCATCAGGAAGGAAAGCCTGGCCCTAGAGAAGCCACCAAAAACCTCCATCTGATTTTTTCCCTGGGTTTTTCCAGCTGTTTTTCACAGGGGACATATCCAACACAGAGCCCTTGCTATGGGCGCACCTCCATGTGCACTCTGGCTTCCAACACTGAGAAAAAGGAGAGGAAAACCCAGAAGACATTAAATTCCCTGTACTTCTCTTGTTGGGTTGTGGTTATTTACTGCCTTGGCACCCTGATGAAGCAGCCAGGGTAAGACATGAACCTTGCTTTAGCACCGAGCTTGCCAAGATGGAGCCATGCACTTCCCTCAGTTCCCTCCAATCTTTTTCTGTTTCTTAACACTGCTGCCATTAAGTGAGAAGCTGCCTTTTCTCACTTGCATTACAACTTCTCACACCTCTTCCTCACATTTTAGTATTGTATTGTACTCTTTTAACATCAAGAGGAGAGAGCTCTTCATGAATAATAAGCGAGAGACCTAAATTTACACCTGCCCTTGCTCGGCGATGGTGGAAGAGCATCCCTCCCCAACAGGTCCACATTTCTGCCGAGGTGCTGAAAAACAGCCCTTCTTTCTCTCAACAATAAGCTTCATTTTCTTCTTCCTCTTCTCCAGGCAAATTTGTGCTTTTGTTATGTACTGCAAAAGCTGAGAGAAGTTAGCAAAAGCAAGGGGCTTCAGTCTGGAGCCTGAAACGGTGCAGAAATGGGTGAGATGTGGCAGCATGGGGCTCCAAGGGGAGCAATGCACAGGCATCCCCAGTGCCACCACAGCAGCAGGGTGGCCACTTGCTCCTTTTCTGGGCAGAGGAAGACCCAGCAAATAAGAAACCCACCGTAGGCTTTGTCTGTGATTCACCACATCATGCAGAAAGGCTTTTTTTATCTAGAAAGTGTGAGCAAAATCCTGCTTCATTTCATTTTTCAGCTGCACTTGATTACTGGAGCCGCTTGTTTCATTTTACTTTTGTCACCTGTTCCTTGCAGCTTTTTTTCTTTTTTTTTTTTTTCTTTTTAAATTAAACCAAGTCTCTGAGCGGTCCGTGAAGTAGAAAAAAAATAAACAGGGATGCACATGAGTTATCCACGGCAGCCAAAACCATGTACACAGCCTAGGCTAGTTTATGGAAGAGGACAGGAAAAGAAAAATGGCCCTTGTCCTCACTAATAAAACAGTTGGCACAAAATCAGAGCTTCATAGGGGTCAAAGCATTTTCCTTTTCCAAAAGTGAACTTTGGCCTGGAGTACAGAGTTTTGTTTTAAGGGTGAAACATTTCAAAACTTGTAACATTAGTACTCAGAAAAGACTCCTTTGCAGTTCATGGCTTGCAGAGCTGCTGGATGAGATCAGAGCGGCAAACACCTTCCTTCCTTCCTTCCTCCAGATTTACTGAGATTATGTATTTATTTACCTTGAAGTAGGCTGAAAGTGGTCAGGCTAACAGCTTCATTCAAAACATCCAGCACATCATTTTCCTCCTCCTTGGTAGCATTTATCTGTTTTCTTGGCTCTGTCTGACACTGGTCGTGTACAAAATAATTAGGGAACTCAGGATCAAGGAACGTGGCTGCCTGGGAACCACCTTGTTACTTCTTTAAGCGTGCGATCGCTGATTGTAATCCCCCCTCTGCTGTCAGCGATCACCAGGTGTGAGGATCCAAAATTCAGAGAGCTCGAGGCGCTGGCAGCCTCCCAGCTCTTTCATGAGGATAACAGGGCGATGTCTGCACCAGTGCTGCCACCAAAAACACCTTCACCCACCCAGTATTCCCTCCGTTTCTCCAATTATAAACCACCTCCAATTTTTGCTATTATTTCTTGTAGTGCTGGGATGCTGAGTCTCTTGAGTGCTATGTGATGCTTCACAGAAGGGTGAATATTCTCCAACTGCATAGCCTAATATGCCAATTCCTTGATAACATCCTAAATAAACCTTAAACACACATGTGCAGTTCAGAATAAGCATCCTTCAGCAGGTAAAACTTCACCAGACCATTGCATCCAGACACAGAGAAGCAATATAAATCTTCTGCAACTCAGTCTGATATTTCCAAACAAATTTCCCCCAAAAATCATGGCATATTTGAGCTTGGCTCAGGCTGAAGGCACTGTTTGGCCAATACGTCTTCTCAAAAGGGGACAGTTTGGGGACAAGGTATGTTTGCCCCATCAGCACAGCAGCCTGCAGCCCGTTCTCCTCCGAGCAGCCCTCAATGCCTGTCAGGCTCCCACTGTGGAGGGAAGAAAGGAGATATTGAACGTTGAGCTCTGCTAACGATGTCAAGACAAATTGATGGACACCAAGGGATGGCGTTGTGCATCCCTGGGTGGATGTTGGCTGAGCGGATTAAAATGTGATTGGTTCCAGGTAGCGGCTGCTCTGTTACAGAAGCTGCTTAGTGAAAGCAATTATAACGCACTTAGAGAGGTTTAACCAATTAAGAGAATATTCTTCAGTCTCCCGCAGCCAGCTGGCTGATGCCTTGGTAAGATGCTTTTGAGGACATGAAGTTAAACCACATTTTCTTACTGAATGTCGAAGGATTTTCAAATTATGATTCTAGGGTGTCTGCCTTTCTTTGATACTAGGCAAATGCCAAGAGTTAATGAAGTGTCCACGCAGCCTACATTTCATTAATTTGTGCATGAATAATTCCCCTTCTGAACAAATGTTTTGAAGAGTTCATTCATTTGTCAGTGCTGATGTCCCAAGTCGGAGCTATCTGTTTGAGGAGAAAAATATTGCTATGAGGTTCGGTGTAACCATCCACAGAGAGGAATAACAAATAGCAAATAGTTTGCAGGCACAATACACAGAAAAGCACCAGTCTGAAAATCTGCTCCTTAAACAGTTGCATTTTGTAATTGCTGTATTCTAGGGAAATCAGATTTGTCCATGCGTTTCTTTTGCAAGAAAAGGAACTGAATTGATGATGGTTTGTATACCTAATAAAAAGTCTGAGCGACTCCAAGCGGAGTTCAGCAAAGCCCCTGTGACAGTAAGCATGAGTGGAAACTGAGTTTAACAGCTGAAGTGTCAGATAGAGATTCGGGAGGATAAAATAGCTATTTAACAGTTGTATACATTTCCCAGAGATGTTTGTACGTGTAGGTTTACTTTCCAGCCTGCCAAGTGACATAAAGTGTGGGAGTGCTTTATAAACACCCTCCAAGGAGCAGAAAGGGACCATGGCCACATCTCTGAGGACAGGGAGACTCTTTTCTCCTCTCCCAAGAGGTGTCCCCAGGCTGGCGCTGCAGCTTGGGCTGGTGAGGGGCTTCTGGGGGGCTTCAGCCTCTCGTGGCTGCATCTCTAGAAACAGCTCCACTGCTGGCCATGCCCAGCAAGCTGAATTTCCAGGTGTTAAACCCTGTCCATATGAGTGTTTAAAGAGCTAACTGATGTGGTTTTAAACATGAAGTCTGGCCAGGGCCTTAGTCACTGCAGAAGCATGTGGTAAATACAGCCCCAGGGTCCCTCCACAGCAGAAAGCACTCAGGGAGGAACAAAGGAAAGAAGAAAGGGGCTGCAGAGGATGCCAGTTTGAGTTATACCTGATCCTAACAAATAGAAAGAGCCCTGAATGTGGTGAGGAGAAAGATGGGAGCACTTTTCTATCCATCAAAGGGGAAATTTTCTTTTTCTTCTTCCTTTTCCTCCAAACACTTGGGCATCCCTGGGGAGAATGGCACAAATGACGTTTAAATGGAATAAAGCAACTTATTCTTTCTTTTCCCGAAAATTAATTATCTTAGAAGGGAACTGGAGAAGACACCCTGGTTTGCACTGTGTCATCAGGGACATGCGGCTTGGACCCCATTCCTGGGACAGCTTTTAACCTTCATTTTCTGCCTTGCTCCTTATGGATGAAACCGGCGCCAGTGGACAATTTAATCACCAGCATGAGCAGGGCAGGAATTCACATCCATATTCAAGTCTGTCAGCTGAAGCCATTGAAAATCAGAACTGGAGAATATAGTCTGAGTAAAAGACATTGGTTCTGCATGCCAAAAGATTTTTCTGTTCACTCTGCTGTCTCACTGCCATTAACAAAGAATTATTTAGGGGAACATGGCTCCTTTCGAGCAAGACAGCATCTTCTACCCCTTAATCCAAATAAGAGACAATCCTTCCACTGTAAGGAAAAAAAAGAAGGAAAATTAAACAGAAAGATAAAATGCAGATTTCTGGCTGCTGGGAAAGGAAATTAAGGAGTCAAATCTAATGTTTGCAATGCTCAGTAATGTGTGTGAGAGCACAGGGGGGTTGTATCCAGCAAATGTGCTGTGTTTTCAGTGGTGTCTAAAGGAGCAGAGGGCTCCCCAGGCCTATCACTATTCCCAGTTTCTCCTTCACTCTCCTGAGTACTACTGGTGCATACTGGTGGTCCCCAGTCCCCGCTGGTTGTTATTGACTTTTATGGAAATCCTTTCTTGTGCAGCCTCATGACCCACATAGCAGCATAAGCAGTTTTAATTTTACTAGGCTCGTACCCACCTTTTCAGCTCTCATAATTCCCAGTTTGGGGCCTGTTGGTATAAATATTGCCTATGACCTGTCAGGTGGAGCATCCTGTTAATATAAACAGCACCTCAAGGTTTAATGAGGCAGTGCCAGATGTATCTACACAGGACCCAGCTTTTGCCATCTCTCATATCAAACAGCACAGGGACACTTGCTCCCCTTTGTGAGAGATTCTTTTGTAACACTATTGACTAAATAAGCAGATAAAACCCAGGAGCTTCAAATACACAAGGGCTGCTTCTCCAGAAATCAGCTTTAATGCAAATCCCTGATGTGAGCCCCATAACACTGTTATATCCATTATTGGTACCAGCTGGAGCATGCGTTCCCGGGGCAGGGTTGGAAACACAGGGCCTCTGATGAGCTGAAATGCAGGGAAGGCTGGGAGTCGTTGTTCAGGTGGGTTGGTCCATACCCAGTTGCTCAAAAATGACAAGATGCTGTTCCCCAGCTGTGTGTGTTTCAGCCCCCCTTGAAATGCAGAGAAAAAGAAATGAATTCAGCAAAATCCTCTGAACAAAACTATCAAGCAAGGCTGGATCTGAGCTTCTCCTGAGGCTTTAGCAACAGAGGAGGAGGCTGATAGATGGAAGAGCTTTTGCTTTTCCCCCTCTCATGGAGAGAAAGGAGGAGAGGATGGAGGGATACCTCCACCAAGGGCCACCCCGGAGCCACAAGGCTGTAACCCAGCATGTTCCTGGAGGTATGGAAGAGCTGAAGCCAGGAGGAAAACACCACCTAAGTGCTTTGTACTGTAGCAGATCCCTAGGGTGTCATGTGAGCTGGCAGTGGTAGCACATCGCCCACCAACATCCAGGTGCTCGGAGTCACACCAAGCCTCAGATGGCCCCAGAAAAGGGATGGGGGCTGAAAATCCCTCCCAGGCATGGGTATCACACTCATCTGAGCCACCAGGGCCTTTTTCCATGTGATATAATGCTCCATACTCTCAATAACCCAGTGTGAGCTTTTCGAGATGCTGGCCCTGTCTCCCAGCCTCAGCCACAGGATACACACAAGGTAGAATAAAATACTCAGTGGTAGCTAATAGAATTTAACTTCCAGGATTGCTTCCACATCCAGCTTAGTCTGAAAATCAAGACTGGCACAGTTTAAATCTTCTTTTGCACAATGAAAAAGATGTCACTGTAAATGTATGTTTCCCTCTGCAGGACTTCCTGCGTGATAGACAAACAAGGGCTTGTCCTCCGTGCTCCTTCCTCTTTCCCCTTCTTCCTTGGGATATGGCTCAGGTGGGCAGAGAATAGAGCCATTATGAGACAAAATAGAAAGCCACAGGATGCAATAATTCAGGTTTTAATATACTTTTAAATTGGGAGTTTGATTTAGAAGGGAAGTGAAGATGCAGCTGGGTGGAAGGACCATTCCCTGGCATCCCCAGCACACCAGCAGCAAAAGGCACCAGGTATCTGGGAGAAAGGGACACTTTCATTCTGCTTTAGATGAAAGGTAACACATTCCCGAGTTTCATATTCCTCCCTGGGTAGGGGACCCAGCAGGGCAGGATTGCCGCCCTAAATCTGCTTGATCCCTTGTATGATAAAATTGAAACATACAGATTAAGGGTGCGAAATGCAGGTCAGGGGCTCCTAATCTGCACGGCAGAGGCGGGTGGCACAGAACCGCAGGGCATGCTACCCCACTGGGATTTCCAAATCAGACCATAAGTGTCTCCAATGCACTTAGCTATGTGTTTAATTGAGTTTTAATTGCAGAGTGATTGCATGTGATATTACAGAATTATCACAGATTACTTAATTGACTGTTCGTTTGATGAAGTTAAGCAGATATTTCTCTCAATATGTGTTTTTGCTGCTATAGATCCCTGCCTCCATAGTTTTCAGCACAGCATCGTCTGAGCAGCGAAAGCAGAGATCCTTTACCAGGGAAAAACCACTTTCATTTGACATGCTGGTAAATTTAACAGACAGATGTGTGAGATTCTTAAAATTGGCTGCAGAGAAACCCCAGCTCCTGCTTTTTTTAAAGAGCTACATGCAGGGGTAAGCAGCTGGGAAGTGCCAGTGCATGGAGGCTCCTGCAAAAATTATCATGTGCACAAACGAACTTGTGTTTGAAGCCATCTGAGAAGCTGCTTTCACAGCGTGAAAATCCAGCTAATCCTGTCCAGGCACTGGGAAAGCAGATGGGCTGGAGTGGGGATGTTGGCTCATTCCCGAGACTGATGGATGGAGGAGGAGAAGCTGAAGAGCATCGCTTCTTCTGTGGCCCCTGGGAGGGATCTCCTGGGCAGTCAGGGGTGGACACTTCCATCCAGGGTGAACCAAAAGTCCATTCAACAGAGAAATTAACTTCTGGAGGTGGCCAAAAGCAGGTGCTCAGGAATGTGAAAGAGCAAAGCAGGCACCCAGTGCTCCCTCGGAGCTTCCCAGTGGATTTCTCCTGTGGCACGTGTCATCGAGGGGCTGTCCCCATCAAAGTCCCATCGCAGGTCCTCAGGGCAGGGTCAGACACAGGTCAGACTCATTCACTCAATGGCATCTGAAGAGCTGCAGGCCGTCCAGTAATGAATTACATCTGCGAGCACAACGACCACATAGCAGCCAAAAATATTCAGATTGAAATAATGAATTTACTCGGACAAGAGGAGAAAAACAGAGCCTCTAGCTTCTTTCCAAAACATGTCCCTTCAGTTGCCTAAACCTTTATTGAATAAATGGCTTTTGCCGTGTTCCTGGAAGATACTCTCATACACCATGCTAATAGACTATAACTGTCTCCTTTGTTAGTTATGTGTTTAATAAAAGAGATGGAGTTGAAGTGAGGCTGTAAGTATGGAGCTGGACACCAGGAGTTACTTAATTTCGGCATAAATTAGGCAGTGGCTCTGCTAGTGATGACACCTACAAAATTAGGGCACAGGCACTTCCCTCCCCACTGTGTTACTCAATCCTCCCCCGTGCCTCTCAGCTGAGTGATGGGGTGATTCAGCCGCAGCCAGACTCGCATCTCCTGGACCACGTTTTTAATGGAAATGCATCTTCTGCATATCTCCACTCTGTGCTATAGCATAGTCCTTGTGGGATGACAGTGTCTAGGTTTGGGACAGATCCACACAAATATTTTCTATGCCAAGACAGAAGCAAAAGCAGCCTTTGCCTCCACGTGGTAAATCGCATTGCGCTGGTGGTGCTCAGCTCTGCGAAAGAGCTTTCCTGCGTCCTAGCCCTTTCCAGGTCATATAAAGGACAAGAGTGATGTGGCCCCTATTTTCTGTAAAGCAAATCTGGGATAAGAAATTAACATAATTATTTTATTTAGCTTTGATTTTCTTCTTGTCTTTTATTGTGTTATGTTTTAACTGAGATTTCTTTATTTCCTGCTAGGATTCTGCCAGAATCCTGTCATTTTATACAGAGGTTGAAATGCATATTACAAAAGGAAACAAATCTTTCCCTTGATTGCCTGATATATCTACTTCTTAATCTAGATTGACAAATGCACTCTACCAACAGCACTTTTCTCCTTCAGAGCTGCTGCATTTTATTCTCCATTCTGTGATGTCCCTCATCAGGAATCTGGAAAGGAAAAAAAAAACATATTGTCTTTCTCTGCTTACCCTTTAATTAATCATTTTTATTATGGTAATGTCCAGATCCAAACGTCTTGTAATCACTGTCTCAGGTATTGCACAAACATCGAGCAAAAGGATGAGCCCTGCCAGCAGAAAGCAGCTCCTGCGGGTGGGTAATGATCCCCAGCACCGCGGGGACTGGGGCCAGTGGCTCCGCGTAACCAAATAATGGGATTATGGTGTCCCTGGCTCCCTGTCTACCTGGATGAAAAACACACACTAACCATCTCTGGGAGTACTTTGGACAAAATACCCAGTGCCACAAGGGCACAAAGCACAAGGAGAGATGCAAACACAGTTTTGTTTAAGCCAGTGCCTGAACTAGGCATCAGCAGTCCTTTAGCTGTACGCATCTTCCCTTGTTCAGAATGCCACTGCCCCCATGTTATTGCTATTTTCTATTATTTCTGTTATGCTTGTTTTTACAGACATTTGCAGGCTGGTTTTCCCTCAGGGCTATTAATTCGTAGCACAGCAGCAATAGAAGAACAAGTGAGGCTTTAGGCAAACAGTTTACAGGGATAAACACCACACAGACAGGTCTCTTTTTCACCCCTGATGAAGAATTGCTCGTGAAAAGTAACAGGCTTTTTTTGGTACCTTGCAGGTGCTGTGGTGATTGCCTTCGTGGTCTGCTGGCTCCCCTATCACATACGGCGTCTCATGTTTTGCTACGTCCCCTCCAGCCACTGGACAGAGTGAGTCACTATTTGGGGGATGAGCTCCCCCCATGCCAGGATGGAGTGTGGGGTCAGATGGGGCTGGGGCTGCTGGGGATGGAGGTGGGCATCTGAGAGCAAAGACGTTCTACACCTGAGGGGTTAAACCCTCAACTTTCTCATTATCATTTGGGGTTTTCTTTTTGGAATTCTTACAGTGTTTGCCAGCTAAATTACAGGTTCTGGTTTTATCATCATCAATTAATTCCCTGGGTGTGGGTGAAGAAAACATTTGCTTGAACCAAAATGCATCATAAGCCCCTCCTTCTTCAGTGGCTGCAGCCACAGACTCGCTCCATTGACAACGGCGATGGATATTCACCTTTGACGGCCCTTGATGAAATGGCATTTGGACAAGGGGGTTTTATACATCCGAAGGGGATTGCTGTCTCCATGGTGGAGATATCAATCACTAGAGCAGCCCCTGTCAACACACAATTTACCTCCACAACGCCACGGTTCCTTAGTGACAGGAGAGATTACACAGGGTGGAAAATAACCATGCTGCGTACTGAGCCTGGGGCAGGTTATTTACTGGGTTTTGCAGGAAGTGGTTCAAAATTAAATACTAGTAGTTGCCACTGATTAGAAAACATCCAGATTTTTGTAAATTTAGGGATAATTGCACGCCAACGCTGAATGCAAACTCACAAATGTGCAAGGGCACACAAGTCCTTTCTGCCATATTAGGCCAGATTCCTCAGCAAAGCAGCCACAGAACTGGTTATTCATTTAAAACATGCAATTAAGCATTAATGCTGTCTGGGGACATACACTTAGGTAGCCTGAGCTGCCATGAGATGCACCTGGCAAAAGATGTGTCTTTCCTCCTGTGGTGTTAACGTCCCTCTTCTCTCTGGGATTGGATTTCCTGCAATGAACAGGAAAAGAAAAAAATAATCTACAATACAAAAAGCAAAGCAACCATGAGACATTAAAATTTCATAAACTCCAAGCACAAAACCCAGTAATTTTCGATATAGCAGTCTACTGAATGGAATTGTACATCCACCCGTAGTAAAAACCACAGCCTATCTTCAGTCATGAAAACAGAGCTCTAGGCACAGACTGGGACAAACTGTTGTTTCTTGTTTGCTTTCCTATATGAAAAGCACTTAAAGCAGCAATCAATTATGTAGCGCCTGCGTTTGCTTTGAGCAAGAGGGGTAGGGAAGTTTGTCTGCAGTTAGTGTGAATTTATGCATTGTGGTTACATTCACATTTTTTTTTTTTTCTTCTTTTAAAAGCCATGAGCGATTTGAGGAAAACATAGAACTTACAGGCGTATTATGAATGGAGAACTATCAGTATGGTAGCTAATCAAGAGCTCACAGCAGCTTGACGTGTTCATTTATAAATGCATGAGCCTGCCCCTGAAGAAGAGAGAAATTTGCTATATTAATTCTTCACCACTACATAGAGAAACTCTGGATGGGCCATGTAGTACTTGGCAGTGCTGGGGGATGTGGAGGGATGGGTGATGTACTCCAGCACACATCTATTTATCTTTTGTTAGACTGCTCAGACTAACAAAAAGGTCTGCAATTTCCACTGAGATAAATGATCCTGAGGAACGTCTTCCTGAAAATGAGACCCGTGTTGTTTATAAACCCTTTACCAGCACAAAGCTGTTGGTCTCAGTTCTCCCAAGGAAAGATAATTCTGACAGAAAAAACAAAACTAAATGTTTTCAACCGATTCTATTTGAAAACATTATATTGTGATGGTAAGGATCTATTTCAGAAGCATGCTACCATCAACTTGCCCCCAGAATAGAGAGTGCTGCCGCAGATTACAGACAAATCCCAACCCAAGGACCCATTGAATGAGCTGATGCAGCTCGCACTGCCGTGGAGAGGAGAGAGCTGCATCTGTTCCCGGATCTTGGCTCTTCTGCGGGCTCTGTAGGCCAGAACTGCAGCCAAAAAAAGTCAAGCTAATGTATATGCATGACACAGAAACAGATTTCCATCTGGCTTCTCAGTTTCACACATGTGTATTCTCAAAGACAAAGTGAATGCACGGAGTAAGTATCACATCCAGATGCAGGGAATACATAAATTTCTAACTCCTAGTGATAGGGTAACACCTTTGTAGAGGCATTTGACCTCAATTTGGCCAGTCCCAGTTGAAAACATAGATGTTCTCCTGATGCCTCATGCACCATTAGTAAGCTCATGTCCCCAACGAGAAAAGTTAGCTCATGTTTTTCTCACCCATGTGACTTTGAATTATTCAGATTTTTATCTTTCATCTGTTCTTGCAGTTTCCTTTTCAACTTCTACCACTACTTCTACATGCTGACAAATGTCCTCTTCTACGTCAGCTCGGCAATCAACCCCATCCTCTACAACCTGGTGTCTGCAAACTTCCGACAGATCTTCCTCTCCACACTCACAATCCTGTGCCTGCCGTGGAGGAAGAAGAAGAAACGATTGGCCTTCACCAGGAAATCCAACAGCATCTCCAGCAACCACACATTTTCCAGCCAAGTCACAAGGGAAACTACATACTGAAGCCAAAGGAGGAAGGGAAATGCACTTCGTTGTGGAGTCAAAACTTGAGAGAGGCCTCTGTGACTTTCATGCATGGTCTCCAAATTCACGTAACACAAATGTGTTTAGCAAAGTCATTGTTGTTGGAAAAATAGGCTTCGTTCTGCCAGTAACTTTGAGGTTATTTTAAAGCATTGGCCTTGCCTCTTGTGAGTAATGTCTACACGTTTTGTAACTTCAGTCTGGCATAAATCCAGGTGCAGTGTTAACTGGGAAGCCAAACTATGTTAAACTTAGGCAAAATCATACTGCATTTCATCCTGTTCTCAATGCAGAGATGCCATGTTCACATCCAAGGGTTTGAGACCACATCTCTTGGTGGCACCGAGCAGAGAGTCTGATAAGGAGGAAGCAGTTTTGAACAGAAAGGGACGTTCCTGGAGAATGAACGTGCTCATCTATGGGATGTTCAATGAAGGAGGAGTGAAAACTCAGGGAGCCAGGTGGTCATTTTAGAAATAGATCTAAATTATTAGTAATATGACCTAGGTGCTCAAGAGAGCCGCTCTGGCTCCTTCAAATTAAATAACAACAGATGATGCCTTACCTAGACTGGGGTGGCTGTGGCCTGGGGGAATGAGGGTCATCTTTCAATTTAGGGCATATTCAGTGCCTGGCACAGTGAGCCCCCTCCCTCACTGGAATCGGTACTGCAACACCAATAAATAACAAAGTCTCTGACAAAGTCAAGAATGCAGAAGCGGTGCCCAGCTGGAGTGCTGAAAACAAACAGAAATGGAAAATCTTACTTTGGCCATACAGCCAAGTCCTACTTTTTTACCAGGGAGAACAGTTAGCTGGCTTGCATTAAGAGGTGAGAAAACTCTAGGCTCATCAGGGTTCCAGGCTGCTGAGAAAAGAGCAACCTGCCTCAGTTCTGTGGGACCTTCAGAATTTTTCCCATTCTTATTCCAATTTTACTTGTTTCCTCACCGTTTTCATATTATTACATCTCATAGGTTATAGCATTTGTAGGCCGAGGGGTCTTTTGTTCTACCTTTTCTTTTATTTCTTTCTGCCCACAGACCTGTTGGCACACTGATCTGCACACATGAGTCTTCAAATAGTGCAAACGAGAACGCAAGAAGGTCTAACTGGGAAGTCTTAACTCTAAAACAAATTTCTTTTAGCAAGCCAGAGGAACAGAAACAAGATCTGAAAATTCTCTTTGCAATTCCTCAGCTGGCGAGTAAGGTTTTCCCTTGTACAGTTCCACCTTTAACAGCCCACTATGTGATGAAACAAATTGGTCCAGAGCCTTTAGCACCAGAAATCACAGGCCCCTAGGATAAGCTAAAGGGCTTTCCTGACGGTCACATCACCAGATGGTGACCTGCATGAACCTGGAGCCAGCCAATCATCCTGTGCAACCGCTGCTGTGATTTTGCTAGTGGTGACCTTGTGTCCCCTTTCACATCACACTTCATTAGGAGAGCAGGGCTTGATGAAAATCTAGAAGAGTCACTTGGCTCAATTCAGCTTTCTGGGCTCCCATGTCACTTTTCTACTACCCTTGGTAAGTGACAGATTTCTCAGTGCTGGAGATGTGATTCTGGCCCAGTGGACCATCATGCAGTGATGGACACCAGTTACCGATCCACTGGGTACTGGTGACTTCTCCTTCTGCAGATGTGGTATCATAAAACCATAAAGTATCTCAAGTTGTATAGACCCATAATGGTCCAACTCCCTGGGCTCCTGGTTTAGGTCCTGTTTGGCTCAGGACACAGAGAAAACACCTGTAGGGCATTTGCTGTGAGGTTTGAGTGATAACTGTCTACTTCTGAGGCATTTATAACATGGGAGATGCACAGAGCTAGCTACTATGGTAGACCTGGCTACCATCAGCCACGTCCTCCAACCACACCTACCGAGGACGGGAGATTATTTTAATGTCTAGCACAGAACTATTCCAAAAGAAAGGGCTCAAAATAGAAATCAGTGGGTCATTTGTGTCTTCTGATTCAGCCAAACTACAGGCTCTGTCCTGTCATGCCTTCTTTTAATTTCTTGCCCTGGTTGTACCAAACAGAGGGCAGAGATTATATCTGACAAAGCACTTGGGTTGTTCGTGCACAGTTGACTCCTTTTTTGGCGAGAAAAGCAGGTAATGGCACACCCAAAAATAAGCAAAAAAGGAGACTGGTGTCTCTTTGGAAGGAAATCTGTGAGGAACCAGCAAATATTATCTGTGTGTGTGTTAGAAATGGCTTGGGCAGGCTGGAAGAAGAAGTTCTAGAAGACCTGTACATACCACCTTGTAGGAAAGCCCAGGTATGATGAGCAGAGGAAGAAGAGTCTTAATGTCACACACTTAACATTGGCCTTCCAGGCAAGACACTGTTTAAATGTTTCTGGAGAGGACCCAAATTTTTAACTTCATCTCTAAAGAGAGTCAACAGCTGGGAGGTGGTTTCTGAAACCTCCTGTGGAAACTGTGTGTTGCTTTGTTTGATCCATTAGGATTTAACATCCTGCGTGTCTCAGCTGCTTTTGAAATGTTAAACATTATTAGTATACTTGTTCAACACCAACCTGCTGAAATGTGCTCGATTATCTTAGAAACCACTGTACAGAAATTGTAGTTTCACGGTAGATGTTCAGCTCAGATTTACATTACTGAGATACACTGGCAGCTTACAGAACATCTGATCATGGCTCAGAGAAACTGGTAGGTTTATTGCTGGTTCGACATGAAAATGGGAACAAGCTGAAGTAAAAACAAACTTATCACAAACTCTTTCCTCAATGTTTGTTGGATTACTTGAGTCCTAGAGAGCTGAGTATGTGGGAGGGGATTTATCCAAGCAGTTTGCTGGCTCCTACAGCTCTGTTCCTGCAGTTTAATGGGGGAGCAGACCTGAGCCAGCGGCCTTAATCTGAGATTGCAGCTCAAAGCTACCTCTTCCACTGGCCAAATCTTTCTACCTGAGCTGAGAAGTGGAAGTTACAGCTGGTTTCATCCTCTCCCTGCTCCTCTCCCAGTTTAGTTTTGCTGTATTTGACCTAGGGTTTTAGTTCCCTTGAGTGAGGATCACTCACTTACAGGACAACTCCATGGTTTTGTAAAGGAAAGCATGACACCGTAGAGAAGAAAAAGGTACAAACAGCACAGTATATACCATAAAAATTGATCCTTCCATGCCTTTTAACAACAGTTGAATTACTAACCCAACAAGGGTTAGCTTTAAGCCTAATTGAGTATGAATGGCTTTTGCCTTTAGACAAAACTCATACTCCTGTCCTTTGAATTCTCGTCTTGTCTGAGTTCCCCGCTGGTGCAGAGGGGTGAGCGTTGGTGCGGCATGCTCCTAATCTATGCAAATTTCCTATAAGCGTTTTGAACTGTTTATTTTGACTAAAAAAAGGTCTGTTGAACCCACAGATGTGAAGTGCTGCCAGATGGATTCTGAGAAATCCCCATCTGAAGAGAGTCTATCAATTGACCTCTTCAAATACTATTTTGAGGTTCCGTTTCTCTTCACAGTGTTCCTGTCAAGAGCCATCCATTTGGCAGCATGTGAAATCAGATTTCCAAAGTCATTACGCTATTCAGTAATTTCCTCCAGACAGCACTTTCTCACCAAAGGCCCATCACGAATCAGTGTTTGAACGCTCTGCTGAGCTCGTCGTTATTTTGGAAAGCGCGAGACCTCGCTTCAGGAGAAAACGTAATGGAAAAGTCAGTGAGAAGGGTTAGCAGGACATGTGTTAAACATGACGATAGCAGGATCTTTACATTTATAGCATCAAATGTTTAGTGAAATAAAACCCCAGGTGTGCTGTTGCTGCAGACAGCTGGTGTTGCAGGCTTGGGCCCATTGTCTGTGTGGCTGCCATCACCACCTGCCCTTGAGGGGGACAGGAGAGCGCTGGAGCTTTCCCGTGCAATGCCATGAGTGTTGGTCTGACATCTTCCTGGCTGTGCTGTTTGGTAGCTGTTTAAACGAAGCTGTATCCGCTAGAGCTTTGTCTGGTTCTTGAAATTACAGCTCAACAGTTTCTTCTGTTTTCGGTCTGGATTCGTTTCGCAGGAAAACAGAAATTGCTCATACAAAATCTTGTGACGCTGTGTCCTGGCTTTGTGATCAAGAGTCCTTCCCCAGCCGTGCCACCTGATAGTCCTGCACATACTGTATTTATGGCAAATATTTTTTAAAGTGCACCTTTTTTTTCTGAAATACAAAATGTTGATGTGCTTTATTTTCTGTGGCCTGTTGCGCAATGGGAAAAAAGATGAATGTTAAAAGTGTGTCAGCGTCTCCTTTGTAATATTTTCTGTGACAAAGGGAAGGAAGAGGGTGTGAAATCCTTTTGTGTAGCAATGGGAATTTTTCTCTTTCAGTGTAACATGCTGTAATTGATACTGTATTTACTATTCAAACTGTAATGAAATTGTTACTTCCTGATATAGCCTTTGTACTGTATGGTATTTTATTTTATTTTATTTTGTCATTTATTGATCCTAAGAAATAAATATCCAAATTTAAGGCTTGGGCTAGTTATGCTTGAAATGGCTGCTGTGCCTTAATCACACAGCCTGCTTACCAGAGCTGGGGCTGTTCAGCCTGAAGAAGAGGAGACTCAGGGGGGATCTCATTAAAGCTCATCAATATCTCAAGGGTGGTTGTCAGGAGGATGAGACCACACTCTTCTCAGTTGTGCCCAGCGACAGGACAAAGGGCAATGGTCACGAACTGGAACACAGGAGGTTCAACTTAAATATAGGGAAAAGCTTCCTCACTATGAGGATACCAGAGCACTGGACCAGGCTGCCCAGAGAGGTTGTGGAGTCTCCTTCTCTGGAGACATTGAAACCCGCCTGGACGTGTTCCTGTGTGATCTTCTCTGAGTGATCCTGCTCTGGCAGGGGTTGGACTGGGTGAACACAAAGATCCCTTCCAACCCCTCCCATGCTGTGATCCTGTGAAGCCCTGGGCTTTCAGCATGTGGCACACACAGCCCTGCAGTATGGGAGCAGAGATGTCCTGGGCTTCGAGACAGACCCGTGCTGCTCAGAGGGCAGTGCTATGGTGAGGTCCATGGACACCCCAGGAGCATGGCTGCTTGCTGAACACCTGCCTCGCTTGTCTCGACTG